TGTCTTCTTCCTCGAAAAACCGCTCGGAAATCTTCTCCACCGGTGGGTCCACGTTTCTTCCTGCTTCCTCAGCACACTTCTCCATCGCGGAAGGCAAAACTGGCGAGTCACTAACAAGTTCCCCCACCGTGGAAAACGGGTAGGAAACTCCCTTATCCATCAAGGACGAATTTACCCAGACAAATTCTGGGCTGAAACAAGGTATAAACTCAAAAACCTAAACTGTATAGATCCGTTCCCCGACTTTCAAATCGATGTATTCTTCCACTCTAGCTTGACAGTTCGTAGATATCTGAAACATTGCCCTATCAAACGAGCCTGGAAATAAAGACCCTTCCTCAATGGAGATAAGATCTCTCCATTTGTCTACAATGTTTTTGAAGGTGGAATGACACCACACCAACGGTGGGATCCCTCTGCACGAAAGCCATGCCCGACGGCTGCTGCACTAGTAGTTTTTTTACCACACTTTCACTTTATCAAAGCAGTTTTTTAACACCCCAATCTGATTATTAAGAGCATAACCTTACTCTCTTCATCTTCGAAAATGATTAGAATTGTTAAACCACTTAACCTCGTAATTTTCGGACCTAAAATGCCTTTCTTTTGCATAAGAACAACCAACTCTTTCATTGTTGAAAATTTTCTGCACCGACCTACCAAGCTATTTCTGAGAGTGAAGAGCTTGTCCTCAACAACACCGACAATGGGAGCCTCTGAATGCTTCTAAAACACCACATTACTCTTGGCCTCAGCTAGTTTTGGGCCAGCAAACTTCTTTCTCCAGAAAGCTTCACGAGGTTGAAATCTCGCCAAGAAAACTCTAACTATATTCCCTTGAATCCTAGATCTATCAACACAGTTGATAGCCTTCCTCGCTTCCTCCAATCTGGTGAAACGAACAAAACCAAACCTACTTCCTCCCTTGCTTCTTCTGTTAGGGATGAAAGAATCAACCACCTCACCATAACTATCGAAAAATTGCCAAAGACCTTGATGATGAATAAACTCTGGAATATTGAAGATGTTCACCGTAACACAACCTTTCCCAACAGATCTAATCACCTTACTCGCCATAAGTAATAGTGTATGAGATTTAAAAAGAATGGATTTTTGAAAATGCCTAATCTAATTGACCAAGGTTTGAATCCCCATAGAAGCAAACGTAATCTTCATTTCATAATCGGGAGTCGGATTCGGATATCCGAATCCCCAATCTTTATCCACATAAGTAATGTGATTAGGAGAATGGATATTCAAGGGTATCTATCCGTACCCACTTTGAATCAGCAGCAAATAGTAATTTTAACATCTGAATCCGTAAAAAAACGAATCAGATATTTGCAAATATCCTAATCAGCAGTCTGAGTTGTCATCCCTACTAATTATATTCCATAGCTTTATTATCTATTCATGCTGGATGTCTATTTCTCATTCAATCTGGCCTGCTCATGAAAATGCTATAGAATGTTCAAAGTGGAACATTTATGTCCACTTAGTGTTAACTAATTACTAGTCATTTGTAGTGCATGCTGAAAAGGCGAGTTATTTGAATTGCATCCTTTTAGTTTTTATATTTAAATTTGGAAGTTATTTCCGTTCAGGAGACAGTTTTCGGTAACATTTTGTTTGTTTATGTGGCATTTGGTTAATCTATTTTTTTTTGGTAGAAGTCAAGATATTACATTTGTTGTATCTAAAAATTTTCATAAAGTTGGCTAAATATTATGTTTATACAGGAACGATTCGTTAAAAGAAGGCAGCGTCTTGTGGGGCCAAATTCTTCAACTTTGAAGGTGTGTATGCACCCTTATTGATGTCTTCGACTTTGCAAAAAGGCTATTTTGAGGCATGAGTAGATACTATTACAATTAAGTGGTGTGCTGCAATTAACCTCTGCAATTCTATTAACGGTCTTATCCTCCCTTCCTTTACTGGATGCAGGCACTTGAAATATTGACAGGCTGATACATTCTAGTCAAGGTAATTGCTTACCGTCGTTATTTATTGGTAGTTGAACTGCATTTTTTTCTCTTTGTTGAAATGGAGAACCACAAACTGGATATTTTTGTCATCTTCCACATGATGGAATAGGGAAATACTGTCGCCGCTATGGGTTCTTTTAAAAGTTTAAAACAAGTCAGGAGGATTGTGGAGGACTGCATAGAGAATAAGATGCATCCCGTGTACCATATCAAGGTGCCAAAAACTTGACTTTGCAATCTTGGTTTTACTGGTGTTGCTTTAAATTATGTAGTGTTAGACATGTTTTCGTATTGTACGAACAGTCAGGTTTGAAGCCATGAATTTCGTGTTGGGGGCTGGGATAAAATTAATTTTTTATTTAGGGGTTGGAGGGAACAAAGCTTCAAATTTTGTTACAATGACGAATTGAATTGTCAAGTCTTGGGAGGTGCTACAAATGTAAATTTTCCTTTGAACGAAGAAGCTAAAAGGGATTAAATTAAATTATTAATGATTGGAAGGGACTAAAAGTGCTATTGGACCATTTAACCAAGTGATGACAAGGCCCTTCTTGCCACCCTTGGCTTCGCCCATCAGCACCATATCCTTTTTTCCCTGTGTTACCACATCTTTCCTTTCACTTCCCTTTCCGTTATCCAGATTCTCATGATGAAGAAAGAACTCGAGAAGGATCCGGCACTTAAAGATGAAAACTGGGACAGGTTTCTTCCTAAGTTCAAGAAGTAAGATATCTATTCCCTTCGTTCGTGTTTTTTAACGTTTAATTTATTTTCACCTTTGTTGTGTTAGATGCCAATTTAACCATCTAACAATGTGTCCAGGGAAAATGTTCAAACAAAGAAGGTTAAGAGTAAAGAGAAGAAACCATATACCCCATTCCCTCCTCCTCAGCAACCTAGTAAGGTAAGAAAGCTGATCATTTTTCATGGTAAAACAAGCAATGTTTTTTCCTTGCATTTGAAGCACATTACATCTGTATACTGTGTCTGAATGTATCGAATATGGTCTTGGACATGAGTTGTGTGAGAAAAATAAAGAGTTGAAGCATCATAGTATTTGTGGAAAGCCAACTTACATTGGTACATGGTATGTTCCAGATTGACCAAGAAGTCGAATCTGGAGAATACTTCTGGAGTGAGAAAAAGAAATTAGCAAAGAAGTGGCAAGATAACCAGGAGAAGCAGGCAGAGAAAACAGCTGAGAACAAAAGAAAAAGAGCAGCAGCATTTGTTCCTCCCAAGGTTCTAATTTCGAAGCCTATATCGGCTCAAACACACACACAAACACCGTGTCTGACCATTTTTATCACCCGCTTATTTGTTTAAACAATAATATAAATTACCGGTTACAGGAACCCGCGAAGCAAGATTCTAATAATTCCGGGAACATGGAGGAAGATGTCGCTGCCCTTGCCAAGTCGTTGAAGGTAGCTTTAATCATAACATCTCTTTCTCTTCAAATATACTTGTAAACAATCAGGCATATATCTAAGCACTGGTTCACACTGCAGCAAAAGGCCAAGGAGTTCGGGAAGCAAAAATCTCTGAAGAATATCAACGCCGAAGAGTATATTTCAACCCCAACTGCTGAACATCCTTCGAAAAAGAAAAAGAAAGCCAAACAAAGCTAGTATAGGTTTGAACTATAAATTTTAGTCTAGACAAGTTCATGGTACGATGAAGTCTGCTAAATACGTGGTGGCGTTGCTTGATCCCGTGATGCGGATGTACTATTGTCGAGAAAAAGGCTTATATTAGACTGAAAAAACCCGAATATGTCATGTTGGAACTTAATATAGTTGATCACCCAACTAGTTTCTGTTTTTGGGATGATTGATCATATAGCTGAACATGATATCAGAGTTTACTAGTTTGAATCATGAAAACTTGTTCCCCTGAACAGACATTAAAAGGGCTTAATATTCCCTCTCTTTGTTCAAACTATCGAAGAATAGGTAACATTTGTACCAGGTTAAAAATATTTTTTCCCAGTATGATGGCACAAAAAAGTTAATGTTTCATATATCATTTTTTTTTGTATAAATGGTTACTTTGTTTCCTTTTTTTAGCATTTTGTCGCTTAATATTTTATTTTGGAGTAAAATGCCCCCTGATTGGATGAAAATCGTTAGTTGACTAACGATCAATGCTTTCTATTAACGTGATAAGTTCACATGTGATGTCATATCAGTAAAAAATATTTTTAAAGCAAACTATAATTGTAATTAATTACATATATACTTATAAAAATATGTTTTAAAATAAATTTTTTACGACACGACATCACATATGGACTCCTTACGTCAATAGAAAGGGTTAATTGTTAGTCAACTAACAATTTTTATCTAATCCTATTACATTTTGCTCTAAAATAAAACGTTGATACTAAAATGCTCCAAAAAAATATAAGAGTAAAATGATTATTTGTACAAACTTTGGGAGGTAATTTTATTATAATGCCTATCATTTATATGTTTTAACACTAATGAAACAATAAAACACTCGATAATTGAGGATTATATGTGCAGTTTACCATAACTATAAGGGTAAACTATATTAATGACTACTTAATTATTTTTTTTCACTTTAATAATTGATCTTTTAATTTTGTCAATTAAATCACGTTATTATTTAATTGTAGCTAATAAATCCATTAACTTTTAACATTTGATGGAGGTATTAACGTGACAGTTAATAAAATTAACATAATTATATATTTAGTTTTTATTATTTATATTTTTATTAATTTAATTTCAATTTAATTTAGTTCAAAAAATTAATTATACAGTCAAGGGTAACACAATTAAATATAATATTATGATGACAGAGATCATCAACTGATTGAGTTTTTTATTATTATTTAATTTTAATGTTTTAATTGAATAATTTTCTCCTCAATCAAACTGCCAAAACATTAATCCGATAAATTTTCCCACCAATCAAGGGACTTAATTGATCGTTGGTATAATTTACCCTAAATATAAGCTTCATTTTTACATTGTCAACTGTGATAAGCTTTTGGAGAAAAAAATGGCTTCTTCTTCTTCTGCAGCAGCTGCTAAAAGACTATCGAATATCAGCAATCATATTTGTCCCACAGACTCAAACCCTTTAGTCAAAGTATCTGCAGAAGTGTTCCAGGCTTTGTCGAGTGGTCTCCCTGTCGTTGCTCTTGAGTCCACCATCATTTCTCATGGTACTTTTTCCTTTCATATTTTCTTTCTCTCTCTTTTTTTATATTTGTGAATCTGAATAAGCCCTATTTCTTATGATTGGAATTGTTGAAATCCCAGTTCGAGTAGTGATAACTTGCTTTCGAGGGTCAAATTTAATCCTTAATTGATAATAAAAAAATAATCTTTAATTGTCTGTTTGCTGCATTTGGTTGTAGGAATGCCGTATCCTCAGAATTTGGAAACAGCGAAGGAGGTGGAGGCGATTGTGAGGGAGAGTGGAGCTGTTCCTGCTACCATCGCCATTCTGGACGGCATACCTTGCATAGGTTTCTATTCTAAAACTTGTTATATTATAAGCCCTTTTTATGTCTGTTCATGGGAACAAGTTTGTTTCGTCGGTAGTTGACGGCTCACCCTTCTAATTTGGATATGGAGAGCGGCCGCCGGTGAGAGGGTGTCCATTGATCAGCATTTCTATGTTGGAGAGATTTGGTCATGAGAATAAAGATGAGTACGAGGATGAAGAAGAAAAGTGTCTCTAGGTGACGAAGATTCCAGTCTTTCTCACTGTCGTGTTGAGGGATTTTTATAGTGGTCCTAGTTGGTACTGTCAGACATAGGGTAATTATGTCTATATGGAGACTAACAAGCTAGATAGATCTGATAGTCCGGCCTTGGATTTCGTTCTGTCACAAGTCTTGGCTATGCATTGTAGTCATCCCAGAGACCCATGCCCGGAGACAGAGTAAACAGAGAGCTCTGTCTGAAGACTTTGGCTGACGAAGAGCTTACAGTTTCCGTAGGTCCTATCTGACGGAGGCTTGAAAGTTTTCGAAGGTCCTCTCCGGGAGTTTAAAAATGTCTAAACCTTAAATGAGTGGTTTCATTTCTATTAATGTTTGTTGCTAATGCTATTGATTTTCAAGGTTTACTATTTTATTACCTGGGAAAATTGACACATAGCCTTAGTATACATAGCCATTGCTTTGAGTAGCATACATTGTTTCAGGTACTGGATTTGATTATTGTTTTGTTTGTTGATTAAAACTAGAGACCATAAGGCATTCTTGCTAGTTCTTTCTTTACATTTGGAATGTGTAATTCAACAAACTAAGCTCATCTTCCAATGCTTTTAACCGTTTCATATGTTACTGCCATGGCTGCATTTTTGCTGGCCAGATTGGGTTTCTTCCTCTTCACCTTAACCTGGCCATTAGCTGGATATCTATGAATAAAAATTTTAATTTCATTTTTCAAATAGATTCTGGGATTATAATGTTGGTAGTTTTCGTTGTCTCTAGGTTTGAATTCGGAACAACTGGAAAGGCTTGCCAGATTGGGAAAAAGTGCTCAAAAGACAGCTCGAAGAGACATTGCATATGTTGTGAGTATCATATAAAATTGTTGGTTTTTGCATGACAGATTCTCCTGTTCTTTGCCATAGATCTACTCAGGGGAAAAATTGTATGGGATTTGTTACATAATAAATGACATTATGAGACTAATGAACAAAGTTTAATTCACCGAGTCATTAGAATTAAATATTTGGTAAAACATTTTTGTAACTTCTACCCTGAACAACATATGGTTGAATTCCATCTATGTTAGACATTGTTCAGATGGAAGAAAATCATTGTGAAACTTGATAAATAGTTAAACTTACTGTTTCTGTGAAGATATTTTGCAATATTTTCTATCATATCACATTTAGCTTGCTGCAGGGCTGTTGGTTCATCTCTGATATTTCAAAAGAGAATAAACATATTAGATATATGATTTGACTTTTTTAGGCTTTTTTTTTATTGAGTGGTTATAGAATGCTAATTTTTCCAATGAACTTTCAAATTTGGTGCAAATTATAAAGTAATAAGTACAGAGATTGATGTACAACTGCTTGCAGGTCTATTCATTAGTTTATAAAGTATTTTTTTTCTTTAGTATCTTCACTTCAGTTCAATATGTACTTCGAATTCTTTTTGTAATAAGTACAAGATTAAAACCATAAATGATACTGACCTATAGAAATCCAGTGAGTTTAAGGGGCTTATCTCTCAGTATCTAGATCCTATCATGTTCCGATATGTTGCACCTCAAAATATGTCTCTTAACAAACGTCCATTTGCAGGTGGCCACCAAGAGGAATGGTGCAACAACTGTTTCTGCAACTATGTTTTTTGCTGCAATGGTGACTGCCAGATTTGAATCTATTCTTTAATTATATACTCGGATGAATTAACCAATCAAATTTTCCCGTTTCATCTTCTTGGCCGTAATTTTTACCCTTGGTAGTGTCTCCTCTAAGACATTCAGCACTTGCAGGTTGGTATACCTGTTTTTGTTACCGGGGGAACCGGGGGAGTGCATAGGCATGGCGAGCATAGTAAGTCGTACTTTGACATCTGCAATAGTTCTACAAATTGGTTGTCTCTGATAGTGTTTAAGACTCTCCAACCAATGAACCATATCATTGTGTTTTTTTTCATGAGAACATAGACTTAAAATTGTATGAATTTTCTATGCTCTACTAATTGTACTTTTCCGCTTCTTTTGTTTGAAAATGCAGCAATGGATATATCCTCTGATCTCACAGAGCTTGGAAGGACACCAGTGGCGGTCGTCTCTGCTGGTGTAAAATCTATATTAGATATTCCAAGGACACTGGAATATTTGGTACTTATTCACTTTGTCGACAATTGTTTTTGTGAAAGATTCTGGCTTCATACTGAATTATCGATCTTTATACTTCATTGCAACATTGTAAGTTTTTCTTGTTAATACAGGAAACTCAGGGTGTTTGTGTTGCTGCTTACAAGACCAACGAGTTTCCTTCTTTTTTTACTCAAACAAGTGGCTGCAAGGTATAAATAGTCAACTCGTAGAACATTGTATCAAGGTATTTGCATCGAATTTGCTTTTCTGTCATTATAACATACTATTAGATCTGTATAATGGTTAACTTCAATCTTAGATATCAAAACGAAGATCAATGAAAAATGAGTTCTGCTTATTTATCTTTGGACTGCTTTTCTTCTCTTTGTTTTCTTGGAAAATGAGGAGTGGGTTTGGTTAGGAACATCACAGCATTTTTTAAGGTTTCTAATTTGTTGTAGATAGACATCGCTTTTCCGGTTCAAACTTCAAGCAAGAGTGTCAAATCGAGATGTTATGGTTCTGATATGTGCACAAAGAAACATTCTTAGAATGCTACATAGTTTTGCAGATTTACATGCAAGCTTACTGTTTGAATGCTTTGTTCAAAGGAGAATAAATGGTGTTTTCTTTTTCTTGGTTGGTGGTGATAATATAGGTGCCTTGTCAGGTCGATAGCCCTGAAGAATGTGCACGGTTAATTGGCAAGTGACAAAATTCATTCGATCGTATCTTCAGTTCATTGAGAGCTAGTAGTTGTGTCTTCATGACTTTTTTCCCCCTTAACTACAGATGCAAACAGGAAACTCAATCTCGGAAATGGAGTATTGATTGCAGTTCCCATCCCAAAAGAACACTCAGCTTCGGGAAGCTTGATGGAGTCTGCAATTCAACAAGCCCTTACAGAAGCCAGGTCAAAACTGCATCGTGTACACGAAGCATCTGATTTTCTTAATCAATTCCTTGGTTTCTGACCATCGTCTTTATCTTCAGGGAAAAGAACATAACAGGGAATGCCGAGACTCCGTTCTTGCTTGCTCGGGTTAATGAAATAACTGGAGGAGCATCACTCGCTTCTAGTATCCTTGAGAGATGAATTACATTTGTATTTGGAGATTACGCTTGTTGTTCTGTAGATGATATCTTGGGCAGTGAATATTCTTCAACTGGTATTGTATTGTGTTGTAATGGTTTTCTTAACCAAGCTCTAGACATTGCGCTTGTGAAAAACAATGCAGCTATTGGAGCCAAGATATCTGTAGCCCTGGCCAACCTCACCCCAAATAACATTGTGTAAAGGTACACTCTAGGGAGTTGCTGAAAACAATCCTCCCTCAATTTACTTTTGATTTGATATATATATATATATATGATATTACATTCAGGGATCCCTTGAAAGTTTTAAATTTTCCTGTTATTTTTTTATTGATGATATGTTTTCGTCCCTTTGAAGTTCATCCCTAGAATTTTATAAGTTTGCCTCTTTATATATTTCTTTTATTTCAGTTACTTGAATAAACAATTTTACAAGCAAAAATAAGTTGATATAAAAAAATAGCTATATAATGGATAAATTGAGTAATATTCATTTTAGAAATTCATTACATGAGGCCTCAAATCGTGGCTTATCACAGATGCGATTCAATGTTAATATATACTGGTCTTCTTTACACTTGTGTTGCACGTGTACATATTTTTATACGCCCCTCTTATACACTTGTTTTTCTACACCCAATAGACAAAGGTAAAGAGAGAGTACATGTACTGCTTTTCAAAATTATTCTCCTGCCAATCCAGGGGGAAGGTTTCATCTTTTATTTAATTCAGGGTTCTTAAATGTTGCCTGAAATCCCAAAGTGATTTAAAAGTCACATTACTACCATGGATTAAAAGTTCCTATTTGCACTTCGAATAGAATCTCAAAGTGAAAATTATGTTTTTTCTTTTACGTTTAATTTGTTTTTTCTTTAGTTTTTATGTAAGTAACATGCCATTTGTCACTTTTTTATTAGCTCATGTGTTTTTTCCTTTAATTTGTGTTAATTTTAAATTTAAAATATTCACAGATTGAAATTTTAGGTACCTATTTTGATCAAAAAATACTTTAGGTACTTAAAATAAAGTTGGTATATTTTATGTATTTATTTGTGATATAAACCTTAAAATTTATATGTTTATAATGTTTAAAAGGACATGTAAAATGTTTACCCATTTATTTTCACTAATCCAAAGATTGTTAAAAAAAAGTGTAAGAAGAGTGAAGCGATGAAGAATTTGATCAGTAAAGATGATTAATGAACATAGTACGATAGAGATAGTATGGAAAACTATATATTAGTCAAACCCAGTCAAAATCTTTATCTCAAATGTCAAAAATAGTTTCAGGTCTGGCAGTGAATACATCGCATCAATATTTTGTCACATCTAATAACGACGGTTAATATTGGATGATCAATTTGTTATAAATTGATAACATCGTTGATCAAATTATTAGTTTTAAAATATTAATAAAAAAAGATACTCAAATATAAATGGTCATGTATAATTTATCTTTTTTTATATATATAAAAATTGTTTTCACATAGGGTGGTTTTCACACATCGGTCATAGAAAAAAAAGGAAATATCACACTCCCAATGCAACACATTTGATTTGGCATCTTCAAGCTTTTTAACCCACTGAATATGCGTGAAACGGTCATGCATGGATGACAAGCATGACTTTTTTTTTCTTTCAGATATTTTTTAAAATATTATAAGAGTAATATATTGATATCTATTTAAATTTATTTTTAAAAAGAAGTATGTATATAAAAATATTAAATGGGTGGAAATTAGTTCACGTACTTCCACATTTCATTCCAGGTTGAACAGTCAAGCCACATGATTTAGCAACAAACACTACTTTCTCCATACTAACAAGCTTCTCAACGCCTGGTGTAACGTACTTGCACATGCATGGAATATCCAGGCCTTTTACCACATCACACCAGCTCTTCGACGGTGGGATCTCCGGCCCTGGTATTTTTTACGACCATTGGGATACCAAGCTCGGAATACTCATCTCGCATTGGGCCTAGACTCCATCGTGCTGTTCCCAGAGATTCCAACCGTCACCAACATTGCCAGGCTCAAGAAACCAAAGCTTGACGATGCCATTTGCTATTTCTTTTATTCTCTCTTATTTTTTTATCTAAGAAAAACTATATATTGAGATTTGAGAGAAACACTTTGGTAATTTCTGACATAAATACCCATAAACTAGTGGCCCTTTAAAACTTATTGGGTAAAATACACGTTTAGTATTTTAACTATCACTTTTATTCCATTTTAATCACTCTGTTATTTTTTGTTTCATAATCATACATAACATTTCATTTTGGTTTCATTTTGATCACCCGTTAAAAAATAATTGTAATGTTAACATATCATCATTGATTTTTTTTTTTAAAAAAATCACACCAGCAAATCTATTAATTTTTTAATAACAAGTGATTAAAATAAAATTAAAATGTAATATTATGTATGATTTTAGAAAGAATAACACTTAAGTTGAACACCAACAGTTCTATTATTGAATTCTATTCGGGCCGAATTTTAAAGTTGAACACATCTTTACTCAAAAACTCACAAACATAAAATTATCAAATACAACTTAAACTCAAAATAAAATTGAATATTATCTCAACTCTAAAGCTCAACTCCAAATCAAATGTTAAAGTTCGACTCAAGCTCAAAAAAAAATTTAGACAAAACATTCTAACTTTAACTCAATTGAAACTCGAACTAAAAAATGAACCCTTAATACATGAAAACCTTAAATTATATGTTTTTTCAAAAAGAAAAAAACATATAAATGTTAAAAATATTAATAATTTAATTTAAAACATTAAAAATTTAATATATTTTTCTTCGATTTGTTTGCAAACTTTTCGAGTCGGGTATCAAGTAACTCACTTCAGCTTTTTAAGAAATCAATTTGAGTTCAAGCTAGAGAGTCCATTCGATTCAAATATTGATTAAACTTTAACCGAATCAATCTCAAGTAACTCACGCACTGTCCCTTTTCGTTTCAGCTCTAATCACTCTAAAAACATTTCTACTCATGCATGCATTTTTTGAAGGATCAAATTAACATTTCTTAATATATTTCTATTGGAAACGAATCACACCGTTTAGAAGTCTTACATGATTTCAGCGTCAGAAAATTTACATGTAATTCTAGTCCTACAAACAAATATAACCCCCTACCACTTTATCTCAGTCCTGTTACACCAATTAAATGTTAGACTGAAAATCTAACCTAAGTTGCTTCTGTTCCATCATCTAACAAATTCAACAAATCTGCTAACTTACCTGGATGCAACTCGGGAGAGACCCCAACTGCAATCATCTTTCAAATGATCGTGAAACCCAAGGATCCCGATTTAGGCTTCATCATCATCCACAGTTGCAAGAGCATCAGGTCCTGTATTGATTCTACTATCTTGTAAGATAACTTCTCATCAGATGTTAATGTTACCGTATATGGTTTCGATTCAATGTTAAAAGTTTGTCATGCATCTATACTTTGCTTCTCACTAAAGGAAGTCCCATTTTGTTTGAATTTATGTTCAAGTTGGGACTCTTAGTACCCTGGTAAGGAGGGAAGGCACCATGTACTTCCTCAGAAGATTCAGTTCTAGATACCAACATTTTGTAATTCAGCCAATTGAGATTCATCAACTCTTTTGGCCACCATATTGGGACAGAGAGGAGGGGTCGTCTTACGGCAGACATGACACCTAAATCCAATAATCTTGCTTTCGTTCTCTGAATTAAGCCCATAAGCATCTCCATGAAACCATTCTGCATAAAATTAATTGACAGAAATATTATGGAAAAATACAAACAATGAAATTTTCAAGCATCAGCATGGAGGCAGTAGCCTATAGTGAGAACTGGTTAAAAGAAGATGAAAACTAATTACCTTCACAAATTTCACATGCAATATAGTTTGAATTGGATGCGTATCCTGATTCACAACAAAGAAGACATCTGGGTGGATCAGGGGTGATGGTCATATGTTCAGGAGGAGCAAACACCATTTTTCTTTGAAATTGCATCACCCGTTCATCGTTTGGCTTACTAGATAACCGAAGACCGTTAAGCCAGTAACTACTGTAAGCCCTTGTTCTCTTCTTCTGCCAAGAAATTTCCTTTATTTTCTTAGGTGCTTTCTTCTTTGGTTTCCTTTTGCCTTTCTTGCACTTACCAGACTTTTTCTTTTGCAAAGTAACGTATTTTATTTTCCTAGGTGAACGGCGCAGTGGCACAGCAGCAGCAACCTTTTTATCCTTCTGTGATCGTAGTGACATTCGTACCGCCAGTAACTTTTCATTAGCCCTTTTACCTTTTTGTGGCAGTTTCCTTGCACTTTTTCCGCTCGTCTTCCACCCCTTTGTATCACCCTTTCCTCTTTTCATGACATTACCTCCTTTTTTTGCATTGACACTCGACTTGCCATCTTGGCAGCGATGGCATGTATATGCGCAATCCCTAACGATAGCTCCAGCGAATTTTCTAACATGCCTCTTATGAAAATATCCTGAAATTATATCAAACTAATCAGAAATGTGAAATATATGTAAAGAAAAACACGTATGATTGGAAGCTCATAAAAGCAATTAGCATCAACCAATCATCACTTTGTAAAACAAATCAAGCATTTAAGAGCAAGAAAAATACACTTTATTAATATAGAAGAGAACCACTTACCCTTACAATACCGACAGCAGACAGCTTCCCTGACAATTTGATAAAAAAAAAACAAAACAAAAAACAAAAACAAAAATCATAGTTAATCAAAAGAAAAAGTTAAGGAGTATTAGGGCATAAACTACGAAAATGGGTATTCTTGAACATCCATTCAAACCGAACTTATCCCTGAACTCTGAAGTATTGGATCATTTCTTGATGAAGGGTTAACTACTTATTAGTGCTTGAATAAGAATTGAGAAGACTAAATAATTCTCCATCCCAAATATATTCAGTGCCATTATCTCGTAAAAGAACAACTATTTATAAACACCAGCAAAAAAATGTTAATATGTTCTAGTATCTGACAAAGCATATCTTCTAAGTTCTTTTTTCCTTTTCAGTATTAGTTATTAACAAGTTTTGAAAATGACTGACATCGTATTTGAGACTGATTCATAGAAACAACAGTTCCAATACCATGAAACTAAAAACTTCTAGAAATGATAAAGCACTCAAAAGTAATAGAATGATTGTTTCTACCTGATGAAAACATCTTTGTTACAGTGCCCACATTGATAATACTCTGACCT